GGCCACTTAGAGAGATCTTGTCTCAAATTTTTAAAAACTTAATTTTTTCCTGTTTTTAAATATTTTAAAATATTTTATTAATACATGTTTGCAGTATATATAATGGTTACATCTATCATGGAGAGTTGGTACATGAATATAACACATCTTAATTCTTATCTCCCCACTTTCGCTTTTTTCTCCCCACCCTCCCTCATTCCTCCCAAAGTTTTTTTGAAAGGGCTGGGGAAGTAGCTCAATAAGAAGGCACTAGGTTCAACCCCTTGTACTAAAAGAAAAAAAAAAAGTTTTAAGGATGAGCATTATCTCCTTTACTCTAGTTGACTGCTTAGCAAACCCTTTTTTCATTATGGTTCAAAGGTATATTTCAGTTTTTACATCTCTTATTAAATTATTATAAATTATGAGTGGAGGGAGTGTTCTTAATTGACTAAGTATTGTTTGAAGAAATACTTTTTTGTATTGTTTGTTAGTGAAATTGGGATAATAGCAACTTCCTATTTCCTACACTATTTGCTTTGGTAGTAGTTTTAACTTTCCAAAGAAAATACACATTTCTTTCTCCTTCCCAGGTAAAGCAACTGAACAACTTAGTCATCTTAAATAGTGCCTATACTGCTATTTTCAAATTTTGCATTTTTCATCCTGTCAGATTTGGGGTTTTTTTTGCTCTTTTGGTTGCTTGGTTGTTGTTTTGTATTGGGGGTTGAATTCAGGACATTCACACTGAGCTACATCCCCAGCCCTTTTTAAATTTTGTTTTATTTTGAGACAGTGTCTTGCTAAGTTGCTAAACTGCCCCAGTTAGGCATGATTTTTTTTTTTTAGAGATAGGATCTTGCTTTGTAATATAGGCTGGCCTTGAACTCACTATGTAGCCCAGGCTGGCCTCAAACTGGCAGTGATCTTCCCGCCTCAACCTCCCAAGTGCTGAGATTGGGTGCGCCACCATGCCTGGCAGGCATGAAATTTTGATCCATCTACCTCAGTCTCCTGGAGTGTTAGGATTATAGGCATGCGCCACCTTGCCCAGCTGTCACTAATTTCTGAAGTCATAACTCTTACCTTGAAATCTTCAGATGTTGTGCTCACTTATGCTTACAAATAGTACAGTGGAACATTTCCCAGAGGCAAATAACCAACCATAGCATCATAAAGCCTATCAACCCAAATTAAACCAGACTTGTGGATCTTGAGAATTTTGCTATAAAGCTAAAAGCCACTAGAGAGCACCATGACTTTTCTGGCTTTGAAGTAAGGATTTTTAAAGCTCCCTGTGGCAAGATGCTTTTATCTTAAAAGACTACTGTACATACATGGTATAATAAGAACCTGGAGCTTTGGGATTTAGTTTTTCTTTTTTTTTTTTTTGGTTTTTTCTCCGGTACCAGGAGGGATTTAGTTTTTCTGAGGAGATGACTGGCCTTAGAAAAATTTTTTACTTCTCTGGGCCTTAAATTCCATTTCTATAAGATGAAGGGCCAGCCCAGGCATGGTGGCACATGCTTGTAATCACAGCACTTGGGAGGCTGAGGCAGGAGGATCACTGAGTTAAGAGGCCAGTCTGGGTTACATAATTGAGTTCAAGACCAGCCTGAACTACATGGTGAAACTGCCTCAAAACAAACAAAAAAGTAGGGGATATGCTAGCTATATCCTCCTCTCAGTTTTAAATTTCTGATCCTGCCGGGCATGGTGGCGCACACCTGTAATCCCAGCACTCAGGAGGCTGAGGCAGGAGGATTGTTGTGAGTTTGAGACCAACCTGGACTACAAAGTGAGCTCAAGGCCAGCCTGAACTGCATAGAGAGACCCTGTCTCAAAAAGACTAATAAATAAATAAATAAATAAATAAATTTATTTCTGATCCTACACTTCCTAATTTATTTTTCAGTGTCTTGGTGCTTAGAAAAAAAGTTGGCAGAAGAGTAAGGATTTTACTTGTACCATTTCATTTTCTTTTTTTCTTTCTTTTTTTTTTTTTTGGTTTTTCTCCGGTACCGGGAACCGAACTCATGACCGTACGCTTGCCAGGCAGGCGCTTTTGCCGCTGAGCTAAATCCCCAGCCCCTGTACCATTTCATTTGCAACAGCTCACTCACCCTATTACTACTTTTCAGCTATGAACCTTGTTTTTTAAATCTTTTCCTCATGCACTTTATAAAGGCAAGTAATACTTACAAATACTTGCAGAAGACTTGCCAGGGCTTACCAATCACTTTTGCAAATACTACCTCATTCTGCTATCACAACAGACTGGGCTTCTATCCTGAGTATTATTTTCAGTTCACTTTCTAGAGGAAAACTGAAGACCAGAAGATTTCAGTAAATTACCTGCCCAGATAGTAGTTACGGGGACAGGGTCTTCTGATTCCAAACAAAGCCAACATTCTTTTTCTAATCCTAATTCCCTGTCAGGGGCAGATCCAGGTTTTGTAGGGGCTGACATGTCTACAATTTTGTTGGCTATTTTCAATAACAGAAATACAAAATGACAATCTAAAACAAAATACATGCCCGTGAGGCCATGCTCAGAATCTTTGAAAGGGTCTATTGAAGTAACGGGACTTGAAACTTTAGGATCAAAATTTATGAAAAATCTGGTTTTCCTTTTTCCTTCCTCTTTATTTTTTGCAGTGCCAGGGATAGAACCCAGGGCTTCACATATGCTAGGTAAGTGCTTTACCACTGAACTATATCCCCAGCCCTGCAAACCACACTTTCAAGCTTAAAGCAAACAAGCAAAAAACATTAAAAAAAAAACAAAAACTGCTGGAGACCTAGCTCAGTAGTAGATGGTAGAACCTTTGCCTAGCATGATTCAGTTTGCTGAAAAAAAGAGGTCTGAAATAATTATTTTATTATCTTAACAACCCTATGAGGTGGGTATTATCCTTGTACAAACTAGAGAATGAGGCGCTGTCATGTCAAATGACTTGCCCAGGGGCACATAGTTAGTAAGTGTCAAATATCAAAGTTGGAACTCCAGAGATCTGGCTGCCAGGCCCACACTGTGAATCTACCGCCAATATGCTGCTGAACAAGCCTTTAAGTTCCCTGGCAATCATTTTACCACTTCCCACTACATTCCACAGTGCAGGTCCTCACAAATTCACACGTGAGGGGCCGGGGATATAGCTCAGCCGCATAGCACCGACCTGGCAAGAGCGAGGTCCTGGATTCGATTCCCGGTTCAATTAATTAATTAATTAATTAATTAATTAATTCACATCTGAACCAGTTTCCTATTCTACCTCCCTGACTAAGTTTCCTACTATGGTATTTATGTGAATGTTACCGCCACCCTAACAGTCCTAAAGCACTGCTGTTGTAAATCCTGTTCACGCTAACGATTTAAAATCCTTTCCTCACCGGGCGTGGTGGTGCACGCCTGTAATCCCAGCACTCGGGAGGCTGAGGCAGGACGATTATTGCAAGTTTGAGACCAGCCTGGGCTACAAAGTGAGCTCAAGGCCGGCCTGAACTGCATAGCGAGACTCTGTCTCAAAAAGAGCCCCCCATCCCCAAAAAAATCCTTTCCTCTTTTTTTGTATTTGTCAAACACAAAAAACTATTGCTCACAAGCGTACTGCCTTCAAATACCTTGAGTGGTCACTTTTTCGTTGTGTGAAAAAAGCAGCGTGGGTGACAGAAAGTACGTGGGACCTCTCAGGACCTGCTCCGCCGATGCCCACTCCTCAATCTCAGGTTCCTCACTTGCAAAACAGAGATGTAAGGCTTACCTCACAGCACAGTGAAAATTCTGTGGGGGTGAGGCGAAGGGGAAAGTTCTGGTATGCAGCAAGTGCTCAACAAACGTGGGTCATTTACGCCTGACTGAGTCTCCCCCGCAACCCTGTGAACTCTTTAAAAGCAGACGCCCTCCCTCATACTTTCCTTCCAGTTTCTCGAGAGATCAGAGACACTTCATGAGTAACCTGGTTCCTTCAACAGACACACTGATGTTTGGTCTTGGACAAAAACATACAACGGTTCGGGACAACAACCAGGCTCTGGAGCCTCAGCTGGTGGCTACCTGCTGTCTCTCTTTCCGCGGCAGCACCCGCTTCCCAGGGATGTGGGGATTACACAGATCTCCCGGGTGAAGCGCCCAGCACGTCCTCTACCCCACAGGACGGGGCACGGTAATCCCGCCCCATCCCAAAACTGCAGGGCCCGCAACGCCTCGGCCTCGCGGGGCGCCCTCTGCGGCTCCGCGCACGCCCGCCGCCCCTCCGGCGCCGGCCCGCCCTCTCCCCTGATTCCGCCCCGACCGATCTCTGACACCCACCACTCATCGGCCGGCAGGGCGGGCTCTGAGGTCGGGGCCCCGCACCTTCTCTCACCGAAGCTTCCTACGCGTCTACGGGTCGGGTCTATCGCTGCTGTCCTTTTAAGAGGAGCGAACAGGCCCCGAGGGTTTGAGTCATCGCCCCGAGCTCGCGGAACTCAGGTGCCAGGCCCGGACTGGCATCCAGGGCATCTGAGTCCGCTGCCCGCGCTCTCTGGCGCCGGCCCCTGGTCGCCGTGCGGGAGCGGCTGCACCGCGTCCATTCAAACGCTGCCCGCTCCCTCCTGCCACTCGCTCCGCGGCTACCCCGCGCATCCGCCGCCTCCCCGCTCAGGGC